ATATATATATATATACATATACATACATACATACATACATACACACACACTTCTTTTTTTTTTTTTAAATACGGGGTGCACACACACACTAGTGCCACACAGGACTATGTTTCTTAGAGACAGAGTCAAGCCCAGAGCTGTTTACTTTCAGACTATCTCTTACTAACTGAATGTCTATAATGGAGCTGTGCAGAGAGGGGAAGGGGTCTCACTCTGACTTAATCACGTCTGTGTGTAAATTAGAGTTTGGGCATAAGTTCTGCAAACAGCTATGGTTTCCAAAGAAACCAGCTAAGCCTAGACTGAAAAACATGTAAAAAGGAGCCTAGCGCTCCATCTGCTGGCTGGAAATGTAAGTAGGAAAAATGAATATGTAATATTTCACATTTACCCTCCCAAAAAAAAAACTAGACTTTTTAGTCCTGAGCATATTACAGTCCTGAGCATACCACAGAACATGAAAATACATTCCTCCTAAACCAACAACTCAGGCTGAGATAAGACAGGTCAGTAAAGGTGGGTCACCTGCAGTTTCTGAGATAGCCGGACAAAGTCCCTTTGCACCTCCTCGCTGGTGTTCAGTTCAGTCTGCAGTCTGCTTGCCTTGTTCCTCTCCTCGCGCAATGCGTCCTCAAGAGAAATCTGGAGACACAAATCAGTGAGACAATGAGGACCAGAATCATGACCGGGACCTTCAAAAAAATTGTTCTTTTCAGCCGTCTGCTCAGATAGAGTAGAGAGGTCGTCCTCCTCAGCATAGAGATCCAACACCTTCTATGTGTCAGCACCTTTTATCTGCCTCCCTCCAACAAAATCAATGACAGAGAAGAGAAGAGATGAGCTGAACACCATTGTGGCCTTATTTCAGAAGTCTTCATACCTTCTCCTCCTTCTCCTTCTGGAGAAGCTTCTCCTGTTCACCCAGAGACTCCCAGAGCTTCTGGACCTGATTTTCTGACTCCTGTAACTGCAGCTCTGCCTGTAGGGAGAGGAGAAGAGAGTATCACTGAATGTTGGCTTATTACTGCTCGGTGAAATCAGCTTTATCTGGGTCATCATAGAGAACCACCAGTTCAATCTACACTTTACCGCAGATCATAACCAATCATGAGCTAGAGCGGCTCAACCAAGGTGCCATGGCATCTTGGGGTGCCTTCTGGATTCCTCAGGCATGCCTTGAAATTTTCACACAGCATTATGCCTTTTCATGGTGCAGATGCATTGGCTGGCAGCACCATGGATATGAATGACGCTAATCCAGAGAGGCCGAGATCCATTCAGAAAAAGATGAAAGTTCAGCTCCTTCCAGGCCTGCTCTGCCTCAAAACCCTCCACAGCGGCAGCTCTGATGTGAAAAGGGGTTTCTAATGTGAAGGGAAGAATCGGAACTGTCAAAGGGGGCTTTGATATAAAGGGGGGGACTCTGTGAAAGGGGGGCTACTGATGTGAACAGGGCTCCTGATATGAAGAGGGGACTTGTGATGTGAAGGGGGAACTCTGATTTTAAAAAAAATGACGGGGAATCTGAAGTGAAAGGAGGGGCTCTGATTCAAAAGGGGAATTTCGATGTAAACGGGGCTTCTGATGTAAAGGGGGTCTCCAAGTGTAAGAGGGGATGACTCTTATGTGAAAGGAGGGGCTCCTGCTGCAAAGGGGGACTCTGATGTTAAAGGAGGAATTCTGATGTGAAAGGAGGGGGCTCCTGATATTAAGTGGGGCTTCTCATAAGGTGTGAAAAGGAGCTCCTGCTGTAAAGGGGGACTATGACGTGAAAAGAAGGGTTTTGATATGAAAGGGGGGACCCCCACATTAGTTTTGTGTTTTTGCATGGGGTCCACCCTAAAATTCATACCAGAACCCTATCTTGGATGAGGGTGTGCTATGGATTTTGGAGGGACTACACGTGTTTGTTTTTTTTACATTTTTTAAAATATATTTTAGACTGGGGTGCCTCGAGATTTTGCATACTATCAAAGGCTGCCATGACTGAAAAAAGGTTGAGAAACATTGAGCTAGAAGTGTCATTTTGGAGCATGCAACTCCCTGAAAACTGGAACCAAGGAGATCTTCCTTTGAGGGTTCTGTAGTATAAAGAGAAAACTGGATGAAGAATCTGAAAGTAAAACAGAAATGTCTCATGTGTCCTGCCAATGCCGACCTCCAGACTTCTTGTTATTTCCAATCCAAGCTCTCTCTTCTCATATACAGTATGTGGGAGAACAATTAGAACCAGGAAATTATCCTGAGGGTTGTAGAAGTTTAGTAGATTAGCGTTGATAATAAGTTACATCCTAAGAGAGGCGGAACAGGTTTATATAAAATAACCAATAAAATGAACATTCCGTTCAGAAAGGAAACCGATCATTTCAATTAGGGATGCACCGATATCTATAGTAGTATTGGTGCCGATACCGAGTATTTGGGTGCGTACTCATACTTGCCCAAATAATCCGATACCTTCCCCGATACCGGAACTTCGGATCAGAGGAATATTTCCTCTGACCAGCAGTGCCGTAGGGGAACATGGAGTCGACTTCCTGGGCAATCAGGAAGCCAGGTGGCGAGTAATGACCCGCCTCCCCGATTGTCCAAGAATCCGGCTCTATGCTGATTGACTGGGAAGCCGGCTTTCCAGCCATTCAGCATGGAGCCAGCTTTCTGGCCAATCAGGAAGCCGGGAGGCGGGTCATTAATCGCCTCTCCAGCATGTCATTACCACCCACCGGGCATCCTGGTTGCCCAGGAAGCCGGCTCCATGCCAGCGGAAGCACTGGTATCAGCGAATACCGAAAGCAAAATATAGGTACTCGCACTCGATACCGAAAAGCCGGTATCAGTGCATCCCTAGTTTCAATTGTTGGAAATGGTAGCATAAGGGAACACTCATTTATCAAATTGTCCGTCTGCAAAAAACTCAAAATCCAGTATATACAGAACAGGCATAAGCTTGATAAGGATTGGAATGTCCACAAAAAAAAAACCTAGGCGACATGTTAGATTGGTTTTCAGCAACATAAGCAAGCATACTGTATGTCCATCTTGCCTTGCGAGTCTATAAATCTAAAAACCTCTCTAAACGTCACCTCTCTAAAGCACCATCTCTCTTCCCAAAGCAACAACCCTGGGAACACAACCGAACCCCCGCAACCTAACCTCCCAGTGCTGATGAAAGACATGTAGGCCTTGAGAAGACCCGAAACGTGCCAAGTTATTCCAGAATCTTGATCCCTTGAAGAATCAGCTATAGTATCCATCTCCATGACCCTCCTCCTTCACAGCATTATTTCCATTGATATTAAACGGGTGCTTTTTTAGTGTAGAACCATATAGACCCATATAAGTTGAACTCGATGGAAGAAAGAAGAGCGGATCGGTCACACTGAGAACTGATGATGGAGAATGATAATGAAGGAAATGACAGAAATAAAAGGCATTTCCATTTCCCATCCCTCTCACCTGTTTCCTGTCTTGCTGTATCCGGTCCATCTCCGTCCGCATGCTGGAAAGTGTCGCTGAGTGAATAAAAATGGAGAGATGTCACACAACACGGGACAGGCAACCAGCAAATTCGATATTCATTTTATACAACTCATATCCCTGGCTGGATCTGCACCGTCTGCATCTAATGGAGCAAGAACAGACTTTCATTCTTAAACTGTTAAGCTGAAGACAAGGCAGACAGCTGAACACACAGATTATATATATATATATATATATACACACACAGTACAAGAGCCA